TTCCTTCCTTCCTTCCTTCCTTCCTCCCTCCCTCCCACCCCTGGGAAGCCCTGAGACCCTTACTGTCTACAAGATCAAAAATATTTTCATGATAATACAAACATATTATTTGCTTATTTCACAGTGTTGACATTTGCAATGATATTGCTAAATCATTGGTGGGTAAGAATTAGGGAAGTGGCCTCAAACAATACTAGCAGTCATTGTGTTTGCCAGCTATTCATAATGAAAAGAAAAGTGAAAACAAAAAAGTCAGTTTCAGGGATAAGTGGTTGATAAAGCAGAAAAGTTACTCATTTCAATAAATTTACACCCTTTACTGTATATCTTTTTAACATTTTGTGGGGTGAAATGAGAAGTCAGCTTAAAGCACTTTTGGGAGTACTGAATTCTGGTGGTTGTCTTGAGGGACGCCTGTGTGCACTTGGAAGCAGAACTAGTTTTTTGTGTTGTTTTTTTTTTTCCATGGAGCTCTTTTTAAAAAACTTGAAAAAATAAGGGACAGACAAACTGGAATTTGGCAGACATTTTCTTGAAAATGAACAAAACAAACTGGCCACTTCAAGAAAAACAGCTAATGGTATTTGATGTCAGAGAAAAAAATACCAAGCTTTCAAGTGAAAATTAGAGTTTTGGAAATCTTTTATCCATCACCATGGCCTTGATGACTTTCCAACACTTCAGATTTTCTGATGAGATCAGTGGCGATATTTCTGAAGTTGGGGATTATTTTAAAAGAAATTCGTCAACATTATGAAGAGCTGTATAACTCAGTGGTTCAATATTGTTTGCAATTTCGCCTACTATAAGTCACTTTTCTAATAATTTAGATACCGCTTTGCTCTATTTTCAGACTTATGCTTTAAATTCTGTTTTGTAATTAAGAAAGAAGTCCTATTGTCGACTCTGGTTTAATTTTGCTTTTAATCAGACTGTTCTCAAATAATTATATTTTGGGAAAAAGAATCAGTATTAAAACCTTTTCTTTTTGCATCCCTGAAATTATCATTCTATTTGAGTAGTTCTGTTGCCAATTTCAGGATTGCTTGTATTGATCATTTCTATTTTTGGACAAGAGAGAATTCTCACTTGATTGTTCTTGCTAGGATTCAAGTAACTATTGTTGGTGTATTACACTTTCCTTAAAGCAGCTGAAACAGGAAGCTCCCCCCTATCCCCACCCCTTCTGCCCCCCCCCCCCAGGTATCTTGATTACTTTTATGTAGTAAATTAACTGGTGGGTGGGGGGAAGTTAACTGACTCCTTTTCTTCAATCAGCATTTAAGTATTCAAAGGCAAATGATAAAAATGGCAGATTTCATAGGTATGACCCTTATTTTGCTTTCCATCTGTTCCCTGCAATATTTTATTCCTTTTATCTAATCTGATATGCTGAAATAGAATGATAAATAATGCCTGTGACTTTTCTCATTAGTGACTTTCACCTAAAGCTATAAAGACAAGCATTCAGGATATTTGATATGCTGCGTTTTATCGATATTAGATAACTAAGTTGCGTAATTCAGTGTCATTTTCTCTCTGATACACCACCCCTACAATTGTCAGAGTCATCTCCAAAGTCACATTCCGACCTTAATGTGCTTTCACTGGTTTGTACTCTTGAAGTTCATCCATTGAATTTTTTTTTTTTTTTTTTTTAGTTTTTATTATGAGTTGAGTGAAGGTTTACAAGGCAAATCATTGGTTTTACATTCAACAAATATATTTTGCTTCTTTATAATGTTTATAATCCCCTCCATGTACCATCAGTTAATAGTATTTCTCTATTCGTTTTGGCTCTTTTTTTTTTTAAACACTCAGGTATAATAATAATTTATACCACCAAAGGGCACATTCTGCACATCCATTGATTTTTCAGATCTCTCTTTCATTTTTGTAATCACTTGAATGGGAAATTTAACAAACTGGTAGTAATTGTAAAAATATTGCACATGATGTAGCACAAAAAAATGTCTTTTAAAATCCCTTTAAATGAATTTTTTTTAAAAAAGCTTACATTTGAATGAGAAATGTGTTTTGGTTTTTTTCTTTCTACTTTAAAAGGGTACTTTTATTTATTAATTAATTGATCTGTTTTTTAGGAACAGAACAAATTGTCCAGTATTTACTGTGTCACTTACACAGACTGAACTTTCACTGAATCACGAAAACATTCCAGGTATGTTTTCAATGGGTTGTTGTTGCTTAAGGCCATCAAATTGCTTCCAGCACATAATGACCCCGTCCACAACAGAATGAAACATTTGCCTGGTCCTGTGCTGTCCTCACAGTTTTTGTTGCTTGATCCCATTGCTGCTACCGTTGAGTCAGTCCATCTCATTAGGGGTCTTCCTCTTTTCCCCTGACCCTCCACTTCACAAGTTCTTCTCCAGGGACTGGTTCTTCCTGACATCATGTCCAAAGTATAAGAGGCGAAATCTTGTCATCCTCAGTTAAAAGAAGCACTGTACACTGAGTGTATTTCTTTCAACACACATTTATTTGTTCTTCTTCCAGTCCTTGGTGCTTTCAACGTTTTGCACCAACACCATAATTCTAATACACTGATCTTTTTGCAGTCTTCATTACACATTGTTCAACTTTCCCAGGCATAGAGGTGATTGAAAATACCATGGCTTGGGTGAGATGTTACCTTAGTCTTCAAAGTTACCTCTTTGCTCTTTAATACTTTAAAGAGGTCTTGTGCAGCAGATTGGCCTACTGCAAAATGTCTTGATTTCTTGACTGTTGCTTCCATGAGTGTTGATTGTGGGTTCAAGCAAAATGAAGTCTCAGACAGTCAGTCTTTTCTCCATTTGTCATGATGTTATTTATTGATTTAGTTGTGAGGATTTTTGTTTTCTTTAATTGAGGATCTCTTGATTCCTTCTGGCCCCTACATGAAGGATTCTTTTTCATGCCTACCTGCAAACAGCAGGGGTTCATTAGACATGAGTGCCTGTCTTCTAACCTTCCATGCTGAAGACCTGAGTTCTATTCCCATCCAGTGCACCTCATGGTCATTGGTGGCTGGCATGTGGCTATGATGCTGAGCAGTTTCAGCTGAGCTACCAGGCTGAAACAGACTAAGAAGAAAGGCGTGGTGATACTGTTAAGTCATAGCGACCCTTTATAGGTTGGTGAGTTTGAACAGCCAATATTGTGGTTCAAACCAACCTTGCTTATGCTACAGCGCCACACCAGGACTCCAGAATAGGAACATTTAATATTTAAAGGGCCTGGTCCATGTTGTTGTTGTTAAGTGCTGTTGAGTCAATTCTCATAGCAATCCTGTTTAGGTTTTTCAAGGAGTGGCTGGTGGGTTTGAACCACTGACCTTGTAGTTCAGACCAACCTTGTGGTCCAGTGCATTATCCTGGAGTCCACCAGGAGTCCATGGCTTGGTGATATCCTTCCAAAAATCAGATAATGAAAACCCTGTGGATCACAGTGGTGTGATCTGGGCTGATTATGGGGAGAGTGCCAGACCAGGCAACTTTTCCTTCTGTTGGGTATGGGGACCAGATGGAAAACAACATGGAATGGAAAAGAGTATCACTTAGAAAGGACACATGATTTTTCTTCATGTAGTTGCAAATGCGTAGAATAACTCATCCAAAATAGAGAATTAGGTTGGTTTTTGCCTAAACTAATTCCTAATGTTTGTAATTTTACCTAGCTCTATATAAAATATTTTTTAAAAGAAGTGGAAGAATTTCCTTTTATAGATCATTGTGTAACAATATATATTATATTGATTTACTATTTATAGAATATTTCCTATGCCATACTCTTTTAGACTCATTCCAAGATATACGATCAAGAAATGCTGGTAGAGAGAGTATGTTTTAATAAAACGGAAATAATGATGTATATTGTTATCTTCTAGGGCCCAAGCCTGAAAATACTGAAGGTTTGCCACACACAGAAAAGGTTGGTCTGTATAATAGAGATTAGCTTCCATGATTTGTATATCACAGATCTAGACTTTTTTCAAAAAATTATGTTGATTAAAATGTCAAGTCCATAAAGGCTCTTAAAACCCACCAGCTGCTCCTTGGAAACTCGATTAATTGGAACTGATTCGGCACTTAACAACAACAACAACAACAACCTAGAGCAGGAATACAAAAAAAAGCATTTCAAATGTTGTTGTTGTTGTTGTTATGTGCCATGGAGTTGATTCCGACTCATAGCGACCCTGTACAGGGTATCCGAGGCTGTAAATCTTTACGGGAGCAGAAAGCCTCATCTTTCTCCCGCGGAGATATTTATTTCTCCCTCCCAATATTTATTCTTCCATCACTAATAGTGTTTTCTTAATCTGTGTTTCTCATCCAGCAGTGTAAACCTCTTATTCTTTATCTGGCGGAGAAGCATATAATTTATCAAACCAGCTACTGAGATAATGTAGCAAAAATGCCTTGGAATAGCTGCTAAATGGTAGCCATGATTCAAGTGACTTCTTTGACTTTGCTTTCTGCTGGGTACTATGAGGAATCAGAGGACTATAAGACAGGCTCTGCCCCCAATGGACTCATACTCTCCTTAGGGATACCAAGCTGTTAAGGACTGACTCAGTCCAGTCCAGCTATACCTGTACCATACTTCATCTCAGCTGAGCCAGAAAGCAAGGGAAACAGCATAAAATGTGGAGCCAGATAGACCTGTGTTAGGTGTCAACTCTCATTTTACATCCATCATGTAGCAATAACAATACCAGTTTCACAGGGTTATTGTCAGAACTGAGTGCAATGGTTGCTGTTGTTAAGTGCTGTTGAGTTGCTTTCAATTCATATTGACTATGTTTAGGTTTTTGAGAAGTGGCTAGTGGGTTTGAACTGCCAACCTTGTGGTTAATTGTCCAGTGCTTATCCAATGGTGCCACACCAGGACTCCTGTCTAGCACTAATTAGTGTTTAATAGATCTGTGCCCCCTCCTTCAGGAATCTTTCATTTGTGACTTGAGTCTTTTCTCCTCTGTGGATCTGTTTCATATGATTCTGGTGATCTTGACCAAAGTAATTGCTCCTCTATACCATTCACTGATTATATCAGTCTTTCCCAAAAACTTGATGTGCAGGGGAAAAAAAACTAAACAACCAAACCCACCATCTTGGGGGACAAAAAGTAAGGAGAACACTGCATCCTAAAGCCTCCACTTAGAGATTTATAGTATGCATGCTTTGAAATGTACTGTGATGTAGAGAAATCTGTTTAACTTTGTTTAACCGAGTGTTTTTCCAAACTGTACTTATGAAAAGTCTCTGGCCACCCCAGAAAAACTATTTTTGCAAAGGATTGTGGAACTGATGAAAACACACTGCTTTATGGCTTTCATTTAATTTCATACAAGTGGTTTTTCAGAAAGTTCATGAAAAAATTCCATTATTTTTCAATTGCATTTTTCCATAAACTTTTTGAAGCCCTCTCACTCGTACAGTGCTTAGTGATATGATTTATACTTTGCTTCATGCCTTATGCATTTCTGCCTTGAATCTATGATTAGAAATGAAGTTAGCCCATGATATATATTTTATTATATATAAAGCATTGAATATTAGTGAACAAAGCACTTCAAATAGGAAGGAGACCTTGACTGGTGACTAAAAGAGTCAGTAGAGTCTGATCCTTGGATTTCTTCCTAATTACCTTTATATTTCTAAGCAAATTCTAGTTTGCATTATTAATGAGTAAGTACATCATGTTGAGCTCTGTATGCCACATAAAGAGAAGATAAATGGTTGTTGTTAAGTGCTGTCGAGTGGTTTCGACTCATCGAGACCCTGTATAGCGTTTCCAAGACTGTAAATCTTTGTGGGAGCATAAAGCCTCATTTTTCTCCTGTGGAGCTCTCGTAGGCTCAAACCACAGGCCTTTGGTTTGCAGTCCAGTGCTTATCTTACAGAGTCACCGTGCTCCCCAAGATAAATGGTTGTTGTTAAATTGTTACGTGCCATCTAGTCAGTTTTGACTCATAGCGATCCAGTATAGGGTTTCTGAGGAGTGGGCTGGTGAGCTTGAACCACCAATCTTGTGGTTCAAATCAACTTTGCATTCCAGGGCTTATCAAATGGTTGTTGTTGTTGTTAAGTGCCATTGAGTCAATTCCTACCTGTAAGTGATCCTGTATAGGGTTTCTTATCCAAAGGGTGGTGGTGGTTGATGGTTATGTGCTGTGGAGTTGGTTCCGACTCATAGCGACCCTGTACATGGGAGCAGAAAGCCTCATCTTTCTCCCACGGAACAGTTGGTAGTTTTGAACTACTGACTTTGAGGTTCGCAGCCTGATTCATAACCACTATGCTACCAGAGAAAAAGGGAAGAGAAAATGAATGTTGTCATGTCTCTAGTCAGACCAAATCAGAATGTAGAAGATTTACAAAGTCCAGCAGTGGCCCTGTCAGAGTGGCATGCCAGTGGAGCGTGGATTTGATTTCTGAAAACAACTAAAGGTCATTGCAACCCATTCTTTTATTTAAGGTCAAGCACGTTAACAGGTTTTAGTGCTGAAGGAAAGTCTAGTGACTTTCAAGTATTGAGACTTATTTTCTTGAATGGTTTTTAAACTGATTTTGAAAGCAAATTCAGAAGAGGAACCCAAGTAATATTTTGAGCACTGGAAACATTAAGGTGATACCTTTACAAAATAATTATCATTTAGCAATGCAAGTTCTATTGAAAACAACTACAACCTAGAGCTGTTAACTTGTTGTTCAGGGCTCATGATATTTATACAGAACTGTCTTCCTTTCTCCTAGTTTTCCTTCTGGCTTCCTTTTTAGTTCACATTTATATGTTCATACAAAATTGAGGATTAAATGGAAGATGAAGCTACTCAAATTTTAATTCTGTTAATTTTTATAGAAAGTAGAATTTTGTTAGACAGGGAGAACTGTATAATAATTAACTACAGTGAGGTTTGAGATCACTTGTTAATTTAACTGCCCATGCCATCTCTGTCTCTTTAACTAGTCTAGATAAATGAAACTTAGCTGAATGGATAATTTGCTATCTGTATTTATCATCCAGCCAATTTTATCCCTATTGTTGTTAGGTTCTGACTTACAGCAGGAGTGATTGGTGAGTTTGAACCACTAGCCTTGCAGTTCAAACCAATCTTGCAATCAAGTGCTTACTCATGTGTTCAGTGATTATCGATTTGATATAATATAGGAAAGTGATGAAAATGGTTTGTTTTATTTATGGAAAGGAAAGAAAGTGGATAAAACGTTTTGGGAGTAACTTGTCAACAAAACAAATGACAAAACTATAAAGTTTTTCTTTTAAATACCTTTTCGTGTGTGCTATAGTAATGTAATTTCTGTTTGGAATACACAGGTTGTAAGTGAAGATAGAGACTCTCCTGAAATTAGCATTCTCTCAGGTACTGTTATTACAGCATCTGGAATGACTGCTGTGAAAGAGACGCCATTAATAGAGCCAGAGAAGATAGCAGCACAAAGCACATCTTCTGAGCCTGGAAAGAAAGTCACATTCACCATGACTTCTGAAGAAGCCCAAAGTGAAGAAAGCTCTCTTGAAACTTTTGTGTCTTCCTTGGAAGGGTTACTAGCATTACCAGAAAGTCTTCAAGAGCAAACACAGTGTCAAATGATGGATGATTTTGAACCTATAGATTTGATGAACCCATTGAGTGACTCTTTCAGTTGCATAGAACCCCCCTTGATAGCCTTGTGGGCATGTTACGAAGATGAGCTGGAAAACACAAAAGATGATGCATTGCCACCTGAGTTGTTCGAAGCCCTGAATGCATTGTCAGAAACCATGGTGGAACCTGCCTGTAACAGCCTAGAAGCAAAGCGCAATGTGTCTCAGACTGATGAAGATTGCACACGAATAACAGACATGAACTTTAAGTCTTTCTGTTCTGCTCCACCATTGGAGCAAGATTTCAAGGCAGCTGAGCTACGGGACAAGGATCTATCAGTGCAACAAGTAAGTCCATGTAATCATTGACCTATTGCCATTGAGTCCATTCCTACTCACAGTGACCCTAGAGGACAGCATAGAACTGCCCTAGAAGGATTCCAAAGCTGTAAATCTTTATGGAGGGCAGACCGCCATAGTTTTCTTCCAGAGCTAAAATCACCAACCTTTCAGTTCACAGCTTAGCTCTTTAACAACTACATTACCAGGGAATTAAAATGGATCGGTTTCTTCCCAACATACCTAAGAAAATATATCATTACCCTAAGAAAAACAAAAACTCCCTTTGCTGTGGAGGCAACGCCAACTCATAGTAGCTTATATAGAACAGAAAGAATAGAATTGTTCCCGTTAGCTCAGGAGATCGCTGTCTACCTGAGCGCAGCGTGGAGATGGGATACTCTTAGTATCCCAGTAGGGTTGCCAGGGGAGGGAAAAAATTAGACCTAGCTTAATCAGAGCATTGCCTGTTGTGTCTGAAGATGCTTCCTAGTACCACAGCCCCGGGGTTTAGAATTCCTGCCACATCCCTTTTTCACAGTGACTTTTATTTTCTTTTAAAAACGGCCTTTGCTGTTTTGTCTTTGTTACAATGATAATGCCTTCTCATATTTGAAAAAAAAAAAATTCAAGTGTTAAAATATTACATAATATAGTAAGGGAAAAGCCCTTCACAATTCCACTCTCGAGAGAAAACCACTGTTAACAGTTTGGTGGATCTCTTTCCTGGTTTTTCTGTGAATATTCTATGTAAGTTGGTTTTATGCAAATGTAATTATACTACATATAATACTTTGCAACTTGTTTTTAAATTGAATAATACAGCTTAGTTATCTTAACCATGTAAGCCAGTATTGTTGTAGTTATGTGCTGTTGAGTCATTTCCAACTGTATAGGGTTTCTGAGGCTGCAAATCTTTGTGGAAGCAGAAAGCATCCTCTTTGTCTCATGGAGCGGTTGATGGATTTGAACCACTGACCTTGTGCTTATTAGCCCAACACATAACCCACTACCCCACCAGCGCCCTTGTAAGCAACGACAGCACTGCATAAATCTTTTAAATTGCTGAATTGTTTTCTACTGTATAGAAACCCCGGTGGCAGAGTGGTTTAGTAGTAGGCTCCGAATAGAAAGGTCGGTAATTCAAACCCACCAGCTCCTCCACAGGAGAGTGATGTGGGAGTCGGCTTCCATAAAGATGAATGAAACCAAACCAAACCCATTGCCATGAAGTCTATTCTGACTCATACAGCCTTGAAAACCCTATGAGGCAGTCCTGCTCCGTCCTGTCGGGTCACTGTATGTCAGTTGACTAGCTGGCAGTGGGTTTAGTCTACTATCTGGATTTGTTTAGATTTATTTAATCCATTCACTAATAGCACGCATGTGGATGATTTCTTTTCTTTTCTTTTTTTTTTGACAAATATCAAAATGCTCCAGTGAACATTCATGATAAGATTGAGATAGCATGATAGTGAGTTCATGCTGTAACTTGCACAGCTGGAATAATACTGTATGTTGTAGTTCTGGTCAATAAATCTCAAACCAGACTTAGCAGGACTAAAGCTTGATCCAGAAAAAAACAACTAATCAAGGGGATAGGGCATGAAAGTAAATGAAATTTTCAATATTTTAATCTGTCAAGAGGGAATGTGAGTAAAGTGTAGGAAAATTATGATTGGCCTGGCTAGAGTGAGCACAAACTTAGCAAATCTTCAAAAAAGAAAATAGGAAGAAAAAAATCAGACCCTTTTAAAAGTAGAAAGATTTATTTAGACCATGGCAAGCATTTTTTTGTACCTTCAACAGGATGGCTTGACACAGTCAAACAGTGGTCTCAATCATGAGGACGAAATAGGACTGGGCAGCATGATGAGTCTTCACCAACTCAATAGCACCTAACAGTATCAGCAACAATAAAATATGAAACTTGTTACCTTGGGAAGTGTTATAAGATGGCTATATAAATAAGCTACGGAAAGAGTTGGATGATATATATGAAAAGTAAATATCCTCTATGGAAGTTAAATCCATAATGGATTGTTAAGGGGAAGTTAGAGTCATTCATAACATACTGTTCACCTTTTAAAAGCAATGTAATGGAGGTTATGTACTAGCTGTCCCACAAAATATCATCCACTGCTGCTGTCAATAGCAAAATACTAGGCTAAATAGACAATTGGTCTGGCCAAGTCTGACGTTTCTAATGTTTTTATGGATCTCCATCATTCCTTACTTCTCATTTCCTGTAAATTAAAGCATCCACGGTAACCTTAGTTTTCCTTTGAATTTTAAGTATGAATATTGACAAAAATCTTTTTTTTAACTTACGCTCTTTTTACCTAAGACTTTTGAATGAATCTACATTGTCCTTTGTTGCATTAATTAATACAAATGTTTTCATTGTACTCATTCATGTCTGTAAATTTTCTGTACACTTTCATCTTATAAAAGGTGTGCACTTTAATCACAGGTACCAGACGAGACATAATTTCTCCTACTTTTCTATTTTTGCAAATGTTATGGTTATTTGTAGATATATTTTTTATCTTATTTGCAGACTCCAAAAGGCATAGATGCATTTGAATCGCAAACTTTGGCTCATCAGAATGTGACCTCTTGTGATCAGCTGAAGAACGATATGGATTCAAATGCAGTAGAAAGTATCCCTGACCAGGAAATCCCATGTGTGTTAAGGAGATCTCTGAGGCTGAAAAAACGGACAGGCGACAAAGTTGAAAAGCGCATAAGTGATATGTACAGGATTCCAGAAAAAACTTTACCAAAGGTTCTTAGCTGTGAGCATCAAGCAAATAGCAAATCTTTAATTACGAATTCTAGGTATGTTATTAAATTATACTTTTCTCTCATGATGTTAAAGACCTTATAGATAAATCTATGCTTGGAGATACAGAGTCAGTGTACCTAATCAAATCACTTGCCATCGAGTCGATTTTGACTCATGATGACCCTCTATGTGCAAGGTAGAACTATACTTCTAAGGGATTTCACACTGTGACCTTTTGGAACAGGTAGGCAGGCCTTTCCTCCAGGTGACTCTCAATGGGTTGGATCCCTTTGGTTAGTAGTCAGCTGTGTAACTGTTTGTGGCTCCCAGGGCTTGTTTTGGTTTTGAATGTTTTATTTATTTCTGTTTTCTTTGATCAGGGCCATACCATCTGTCAAACGCTTTTTTTTCTTTAAAAGGAGCTAGACTTAACTTGAACATGTTTGATGTCCATGTGTTACTTCATGGGAGTCCTCAAGGACATAAAATAATGGAGTGGGGAAAGAGGAACTTGGAAACATTTGAAGTTATAGTTCAGTTGAAGTTGTTTTAAATCATGGAATGGGATATCCAAAGAAAAGAACAATGGAAAGATAAAACCGTGGAAGGCGAATGTGACAGGCATTCCTTCTGCCTTTTTTTGTTGAAGGTTCTAGTTGTTCCAAATAGAATGGAAGATGTTAAGGTGGCTGGGGAGTAGAGTGCATGGAATTATAGAAGATGAGCGATTGAATGTGCTGGAACTGATTTATAACATCTCTGCTGATTGCTCTCTGTCCCCAGATCCATTCTCTTTCCTTCCATGCCCTTTCTGTGAACTAGAAGCTAACGTCTAAGGGCTGCATAATTAACGATCCCCAGTAAAGTGCCTAATAAATGCTGTTTTCTTTCCTCTCCCACCAAAAAAAAAAAGAGCTAGCCTCTTCTTTCCCTAGGAGATGGATGGAGTAGAGAGTGGTCTGTCAAATTGGGGTAGAAGGGACAGTAGATTCAGGATACTCAACACTTGTAGGTGACTGTCCCTAAAGGAGGAAAACCTGTGGGTGGCACAAAGAGTAGGCATGATGACTGGCATCCCTGTCAGTGAGCTACCTGCAGTTAGGTAACTCAGCCATGTCTGTGCTTCAAACAGCCCTGCCACATGAAAGCAGCTCAGTAACATGCCTGTGAATTTTAAAATCTTAATTCATATTTAAGAGGTATCTTCCATTAATGTTTGTAGAGAACATTATGAAAACTTTTTAAAAAGTTATTATTGTGAATTGAGTGATAGTTTACGTGGGAGAACGTCAGATTTACACTCATCATATCGTATTTCATTTCATTGTAATGATTACAATCCCCTCCATGTGTCATCATTCAACAGTATTTGCTTCTATTCCCTCTGTTTTTTGTTTTAGATGTGCACCAAAACTCTCAGGAATATACAATCATTCAAACACCCAAAGAGCATACCCTGCAAGCCTGTCTCCCTGGCCGCCAGCACACAGCCCCTCTCCCTCCATGAGTCTAGAGTCCCCAGCTGCTCCATCTAGCCACGTTGTCATCTCTGCCTCCATCCCTGGGGTTGCTGCTTCTCTGCATAGGGTCTCACACTTCGCTTCCGCTCTTCTCCCTTTATGGTCCCAGGGTCCTCTGCTCCTGGACTGCAAGATCAACCACTCCCCTATTTTTACTACAAAATGTCTACCTTTACAGTTGCAACAATTGCCATCAGTCATGAAAACAGTTACTCACTATTGAACCACAAGAGTCATATCCCCGTATCTCCTTTCACTAGCCCTGTCTAGACAGGATGAAAACCACTCAGTGAAGATTCTACCTTCCCCCGCAGCCTCTGAAACTAAACTCCCGCTTGAAAACTTGTAAGCCAGTTACTTCGTGCCTTTATTAACACCCCCCCCCCCATTTTAGGTAGCCAGTGTCTAAGTTGCCCATCCCTGTCAACCCTGTGTACAGAGGGAACGGGAATGATCCTTGCTGTGAAGATTCCTTTCTTCTTGGTTGCTATTTTAAGCTATTATATCCGTAAGTATAGGTCGAGTTCATATAATAACTTTTAAAACATTTATTTTTCAAGCCCACAGGATTCTGCCGTAACGACTGATGGCAAAGGGAAGACTGTGCATTCCCGTAGACTCCAGAGTAGGCAACAGATCAGGAAAAACAAACTTGCAGCAAGAAACGGTGAGACCTAATTTGAGCATTGATCTATTCCTCCAAGTAGATCATTTACAGAAACAATTGGTGCTAGAAAGGATTCAGAGGTTATTCTCAACTTACACTGATGAGAAAACTGAAGTTAAACTAGTTTGGGAGTTTTGACAGCATCATGGTAGCTTGTAAAAAGCATAACTGGGACTTAATCCTGCTAATTTCTAGTTCCTCAGTGGTTATTTATCACCCTCATGGTAACTTTCCTTACACACATGAGCAATTTAGGGTTTGGAGTATCAGGGAGCCACTTGCATAGATTTCTACTGCCTTTTCTCTGCTCTCTTTTGTCTGGTGCCCTGCCCTGCAAGTGCTAGCTACCCCTGCCTCCCCAAACTTCAATCTCTGTCTCCTCAGATCTGCCAGCTTTCTTCAGTCCAGCTTTCTTTCTTGTGCTATAGTCTGGCACGTGCCTCCAAACAGAAAGCTGGGTGGGTGACCACAGGGCTTACCTCATAAGTCTCCCTTTACTCAGGGATCGTAGACCTGAACTGCTTACTTTTCAGTGTCTGAAAATGGGAGTTCCCCCCAAATATTTCTGATGTGGTTATATTTATTTATAGTGGGAGGGCAAGTTAGGGCATTTACTTCATCATACCTGGAAGTGAATGTCTTCTGCAACTTAGTTTTTACTGAAAATTCTTGTATGCTGTGCTTCTTAATTTTTAATAAATTACATAGTTACTATGGTTAAATACAAGTTGTTGTTGTTGTTATGTGCCGTGGAGTCGGTTCCGACTCATGGTTAAATACAAGTAGCACAGATATATTGGGACTAAAGAGTACTAATGCAGTTTATCTGGAGGGAACAATGCTTTGTAGTCTGGGGTGGGAGAAGGAATGCTCAAATCAGCAGTTAATTTTTTTTTTTTTTTTACAGTGAGACTGAATGGAAGGAGTTAAATAAAAGGCAAAGCAGTTAAATTATGGTCCAATAAGAAAGTATCTGCAGTACTTAGTGACCTTTGAGGGTTTAGGATGGGGCAGTAAGCTAGCAAAATTGGAAAGGCTGTCATAAAAGTTCTTCTGAAATTCAGAGTAACCAAATAAGTATGGTTCACAAAAATTGACCAGCTGTGGAACAGCTAAATTAGAAGTCTCAGTATTCTAGAAGGCATAGTGGAGAATTGATACTTAGTATGCAGCGTCTGGAAAACTATTATATCATGCAGTTCTGGGCTCAGGAAATCGAAACAGTTCAAGGTCATGGCTCTTTATTTAATTTCATAGCAATTCTTTGTAGCAAAGGAGGAAATTTTAGCATTCCTCTTGCTAGGAGTTAAGTTTTGTATTTTTATAAGCCTCTGACAATTTTCTCCTTGTGGTTTCATAAGACATTTAGGCATTATACCATCTTACCAAGTATCTAGATTTGAATAGTACTTTTCACTAGAAGTTTTAAGAATATAACCTATTAGTCTTCTCCCAAGCACCTTTCATGGGGTTTCAATCACAGAAACCATTTATCATAATTTATAACTTACTACTAATATTTTAAAGGAACTCTGGTAGCGTAGTGGTTACTAATCGGGCTGTGAACCTTAAGGTCAGCAGTTCGAAACTACCAGCTGTTCCACAGGAGAAAGATGAGGCTTTCTAAAGCTCCCGTAAAGATTTACAGCCTCGGAAACCCTGTTCAGGGTTGCTATGGGTCGGAACTGACTCAACAGCACTTTACAACAACAAACTAATATTTTTGAAGGAGACAAGTGGCGCTGTCTAATCCTATTATTTGTTGTTGTGAAGTGCCGTCAAGTCGGTTCTGACCCATAGCAACCCTGTATAAAGTTTTCAAGGAGCAGCTGGTGTGCTTGAACTGCTGACCTTGCAGTTCAAATGGCTTTGCAGTTTGGCGCATTAACCCACAGCACCACACGAGGACTCGAGTTGGGTTAACGAATGCATCTTTCATAATATAATATACTTTACCTCTAGAGCGCTGACTAGACTCAACCTCTTAACTCTGTCCCTTCTCATTTTCAAATACTTTTTTGTTTTGTTTTGTTTTGTCTTTTCTCACATTTCAGGGAAAACGACGATAAATAAGGTGTCTCTTTCTAGTATTAACCGGAAAAACATTTTCGGAGAGAATTTACTGTATAGGGCAGCTCTGCAAAATGATGTTGATCTTCTTCACCAATGCATAGCAAAAGGTGGAAATGTCAATCAGCCAAGTTATGCTGGTAAGTTGGCGTTAGCGTTTGGGAGTGGTTTGTAGTTTCAGCTGTTGTGTACCGTTGAGTTGGTTCCAACTCGTAGTGAACTTGCATAGGGTTTCCGAGACTGCCTGGTAGCTTTGAACTGTCAGCCTTGCAGTTACCAGTCCAATGCTTATCCTAAAACACCGTACTAATGCTCAGTTTCATCTGAATCTTATAAAAATATAGTATAATTGGCTTAAGGCAAGCTCCAAACAGAAAAATTTCAACTGATTTTCCTGCTTAGGTAGCTCTTCAGTGCCATCTCTCAGGGAAGTTGGCAAGATAGTGGGAGCACATAAGGGTCTAGCATTGTATTTCTCCTTCAGAGAGTATGCCTGCCTGCCACCCTCCAGGTGAGCTAGGTGTGCTGGGCTGACACAGAAGGATGGCTCCTGGGACTGGCATTGTACAGCTGGAAGAGGCTGATGGTACACCGAGCTACATGGGAAAATTAATGATCACGTGGAACATTTACTGCAGGAGCAATGGCCAGGAAAGTGGCAAGAATAGAGTATGAGATAGAGAGGGTGAGGTAGGGGCTTACAAAGAGTGGGCCGCAAGCCCTGGATCTCTCCTGTAGCCTTTGCTGTGTGGGGAGTCTGACATGTTCTTCTGAAGAGGAATAATTCCTCAAGGCACTTTAAGGTACTGAGCAACACTGGGCCAGTTTGGGTGGTGCTTTTGGGTATTCTGTTTTTTTTTTTGTTTCTGAATGTTCTCAGTTTATGAAGCAGTGCATTAAATTTATGGTATGCACAGACTGCGTAGCAGGTGATTAAGTACACCCCCCATACAGATGTATAGGGTTTTCTAGGAGCCACTGGTGGGTTTGAACAGCCGACCTTGCAGTTAGCAGTCCAGTGCTTATCCCATAGTGCCACACCAGGACTTCAATACAGATAGTCTCAATTGATGACATATTCCAGTTACACTCACCCGCCTTTCTTTTTTTGTTTTTTGTCTTGATGACTTATCATTAGTAATATGTACTATACATATATTTCAGTGAGCAATTGGCTGGTGTTGTCATTCTCAGATGTTCACTCATAAATGTTCAATGCTATATACAGTTCTTAACACTGCTGCATGAGGTTGGCTTCAAAAAGTTTATGGGGAAAAAAAAAATCCCACGATCTTTAAAAAAAAATTTTTTTATTGTGAATTAAGTGAAATTTTATAGACAAGATGATCAGTTTTACATTTAGCAAATCATACACTTCATTTCATCTCAATGATTGCAGCCCCCACCCTATAATAACAGTTATCCCGCTTCCTCCCTGTGCTTCCTCTTTCTATTCCACCCACCTTCCCATCCCTTCTCAACTTGGTCCTTAGGAAAATGTTGCCCTTTTGATTTTGAATGATTGACCATTCCATGTATTGTGCATGTCCCATCCCAGGAGTTCTGGTGTGGCCGCTGTAGTATAAGCACTCGGCCTCAAGGTTGGTTTGGATTGCAAGGTCGGCAGTTCAAACCCACCAGCTGCTCCTCAGAAACCCTATACAGAGTTGCTGTAAGTCAGAACTGACTCAACGGCACTTAACAACAACAACATAATACCTTTCTACTGCTTGGCTGCAAATTGCCATGAGAGTTCTTTTCCTGACTTGAAGAGCCATAATCTTGGGTTCCTGCAGTTCTCTTTCTAACTAGTAAGCCCGTCTTTTTTTCTCTCTCCAAATTTTGACTTTTGTTGCTACTCTATCTGATCCTTTTCAAAGCAGTTGGTAGCTGGGCACTTTCTAGTTCTCCTGGTGCCAGCCTCATGGTGACTGATGTTCACTGAACTAATTGATTCCAAGTATCTTCAATTTTCACCACTCTTCTTTCTTTCTCATGTTGAGAGACCAATAGTTGCACCTTAGAAGACCTCTGGTGAGCTTTTAAGTTTTTAGACGCTACCCACCAAAGTAGGATGTAGAACATTGTTTTTTGGATTATGTCAATTAACCATGTTGTCCTCTGAGACTATGGTCCTGAGCTCCCAGCCCCAGCAACTCATTACCTAAAGATGTTTGATAATATCTAAGAAGTTTTAACCATCTTGCCTGTTGTGTGCTCCACCTCATCCATAGGTGTGTTTGCATCAAATGTAGGTTGTTGTTGAGTACCTTCGAGTGGGTTCTGACTCATAGCGAGCCTGTATAGGGTTTCCAAGGAGCAACTGGTTGAGTGGGTTCTGACTCATAGCGAGCCTGTATAGGGTTTCCAAGGAGCGACTGGTACGTTTGAACTGCCCACCTAGTGGTTCAGACTGACCTCGTGGTCCAAAATAACCATGTACAACTATGTTCTTTCAAACCCTTACGTATTTGTTGATATACTCCCATTCTCCCTCCCATCCCTGTTCAGCCTATGTATCTGTCCATGTATTTACCCCCAGAATACAGTTGTTTCAGGATTATGCCTATAACACTATTTACCTCTAACCCCTCTGTAGACCATGCACACCTCCCTTTGTCTTCATGTGTCAACATCATTCTTCAGCCAACCTCCCTCTTCTTGTATATTACCTACCCTCCCATCAGCTGAGCTGACATGTGTCCACTCTCTAGCCAGTGAATTACTCTCCCTTCCCTCCCTGTTAACAACCACCAAAGAATGTGTCTTGTAGCATGAAAACTTCTTGACTTTTTACAATAGTGGTCTCATACAATATTTGTCCTTTTGTGATTGACTGATTTCACTCAGCATAATGGCCTCCATGTTACTTTAAACATGTATTTTAAGGAGGAAAATGTTGTTTATTAAGTATATAGTTCCTCTTATCAGTGCTTTCCATTTCTTCCCCAAGGCGTTGCAATTAATGCTATAGGAAAAACAGCTTCTCTAGCAATTTATGTCAGTGGTTGTAAACTGGAAAAAGTTTTGTCCTTACAGGGCATTGGTAATATCTGCTGAAATTTTTGGTTGTTGCATCTTAGTGGGGAAGAGATGTTACTGGCACTGAGCAGGTTAAAGTCAGGAATGCTGCTAAATAGCCTAAACTTCTCAGAAAAATAAAACAATTATTCAGCCCCAAATGTCAGTAGTGTCGAGATTGAGAAACCCTGGTTTATGGACAAGGATCTGAAAAGAATGAGTGAAATACATTTTTAACTTGTAGCTTTCTGGTTTTCTTAGATCTGTCATATGATTTGTTTAATTTAATAAATTAATAAATTTAATAAATTTGTATAATTATACCATTATCTCTGGCTAACAAGAGAAATGGATATTTCTCTGGGTAACTGGTCTTCTTGGACGAATTTGTTACTTGTTAATTAAACTTCTGTGAATAGGTTTTTGTGAATGAGGAGAAAAAGAGATATCTACAACAGCACTGACTTCTGTATAATTCCACAGAATAGAAGTAGTCTTACCTAGAAATAGGCTATTTTCTCCTCCCTCTTCTCTGCAGAAAAGCAGAGAACAACTTGTACTCTCAATTGACCAGTAACGATGCTCTTACAGCCTTTTACTTTGCTGACATGAGGAATAGGTTCAGCATTTTACCTTTTGTATATGTAAGGTGGAGGGTCAGAGA